TTTAACTAGCTTTATTGAGTTATAATTCCCTACACTTTAATTAGTTTCACAGACATCCAGTTGTGAAAACACTACCATCACGATAAGACATTTCCATCATCTCAGAAGGCTCCCTTGTGCCTCTTTATAGTCAGGCTCTTTCCTCATCACTGTCTAGGCAACTGCTGATCTGCTTCCTGCAACTGTAGTTGTAGCCTTTCTTAGAATTTCAAATAAACAGAATCATACTGTGTACAGATTTTTGTGTTTAACTCGATTTGCTTTGTTAATGTTTTTGAAATTCATCCATGTTGCATGAGTTGTTTTCTCTCCCTTTCTCCCTTTCCCCCCCTGTACTGCGATTGAACCCAGGACCTATCTATTATATAGATATACTATATTTTATTTATTCATCTGTTTATGGCCTTTGGTGTTGTTTCAGGTTTTGGACCATTATTCTAAAGCTTTTATAAACATTAAGAAAAGTCTTTTTGTGAGAAAAGACTTTCATTTCTTCTAAGCAGATACCTAGGAGTGGATTGATGGGTTGTATGTTAAGATTATGTTTAACTTTATAAGAAACTGTCAGACCATCACCAGCAGTGTAGAGTTCCAGACATCTTTGTCCACACTGACCATCATGTTAGTGGTATGTAGAAGAATGTCATTATGTTTTTAATTTGCATTTCATAATGGCTAATGATATCATACAACTTTCTTGTACTTCCTGGCTATAGATCTCCCATTGTATAAGTCAACTCTTTTTCCAATATTTTTCAAGTTGTTTAGCTAATAAACTCTTGAGAGTTATTTATTCATGGATATGAATCTTTTATGAGCGATCTATATTACTAATATTTTTTTCAGTGTATAGTTAGGCTTTTCATTTTTTCAAAACTAACATTTTTGTAAATGGTAGGAGGTAGGACTCCGTATTCATTATTTGCATAGCAATATTCAGCCATTCCAGCACAGTTAGTGAAAAGACTTTCTTTTCTCCATTAAATTGCTTTGACACGGTTATTAAAAATCAATAAGCCAATCATGGGATTCATTGGCTTCTTTGTGAAACTGATCCACATCCCCATTAACAATATCATTGGGGGTGGCTGAACACCTTTTGGAAGAATGTTTTTCTTCTTGGCATCTTAGGGGTTGGAGAAGCTCATGAAGTAAAATCTTGCCTGTGTGCTTTGTGTTTTTCTTTTTCTTTTACCCTATTAATGTGTTTTCTATTTTTAAATTAAAATAATTTCAGAATAAAAAAATCAATAAGCCATGAATATGGATGTTTTTGGATTCTTATTAGTTCTGTTTTGTTGATTTACATACCTGTCATTTTGTGAGCACCACATTCCTGATTACTGAAGCTTTTTGGTAAGTCTTTAAGGAGACAGGGTATTCTCCAGCTTTGTTATTTTTAAAAATTGCTTTGGCTATTTTAGTTATTTGCATTTCCATGTAAATTTTAGACATCAGTTTCATATGTGCACACAAAAGCCTCCTGGGATTTTGATTGGGAGTACATTAAGTCTGTAGAATCAATTTAGTTTGCAACATAACAAAATTGAGTGTTTAATACCTAAATATGATATATCAAGTTAGAGCTCCTTTAATTTCCTTAAATAGTGTTTTATAGTTTTCAACATACTAGTGTTATACATATTTTGTTAAATATATCCCTCTTTTATGTTTTGGGGTTCTATTATAAGTGGAATGGTATTCTTTGCTACTATATAGAAATGTAACCAATTTTTGTGTATTGACTTTGTATCCTCTAACCTTACTTTGAATAGCACCTATTAAAATTTATAGGTTCATTAGGACTTTCTACATACATGATATCTATAAATAACGATATCTTTACAACTTTACTGTATATCCTTCTTGCTTTTTTTCATTGTCTCAGTGCAATAACTAAGACTTGCAGAATGATGTCAAATTAAAGTGGCACAAATGGGCATTCTTTCTTGTTCCCAGTTTTAGGGGAAAGCATTCAATCTTTCATCATTTTAGGTTTGATGTCATTTATAGGTTTTTCATTGATGCTCAAAATCAGGCTGAGGAAGTTCTTTCTATTCTTAGTTCACGTAGTTTTCATCATGAATTAGTGAATTTATCAAATGCTTTTTCTATACATTGAAATGGTTACCGTAACTAATTTTTCCTTTTTTTGAATATTAATATGGTAAAATCCATTGACTTTTTTAAAATGTTGAACCAATCTTACATTTCTTTTATTTTGTTTTATCATTATAAATCATTTTTATACATTGCTGGACTCAATTGTGTAAAACATTGTTAAGAATATTAGTGTAATTGATGAGAGATACTGGTTTTTAAATTTTTTTTAAGATTATTCTTTATTGCACATTTGTTTATATGTCTGCTGCTTCTGGGTACAGATAAAACTGAAATATTGAGTTAGTTTCCATTATATTTCCAACAACTGAATTATAGCAGTGAATTACCTATATGTTCCCCTAGGGGTATTTTTCAAAAACTAGAGCATTAACCTTCCCAATTTGTATATGTACTAGAGCACAGATTTAAAACAAATCAAACAGTATTGTAAACAAACAATTTTTACATTTATACATATAATCCAGGTTAATACAACTTCTGATTAAATAATATTATAGAGGTAATTATAAACCAACAATCTTCCAAACTATTCAATTCTTGTATGTATAACTAAACATTTGTCTTAGAAAATTTTAACACTTTGAGAAATTAATTCTCTCACAATTAGGCTTTCATAATGATATTTCTGCTCACCAAATAATAATTTTTAAAATGAAAATTAAAAGCCAATTATTATCTTGGACAAAGCTGTCCAGAATAGTTAAGTGTTCTTATTTTCTTTGGTTTTAGTTTTTATACATATTTTTGTCTATTTCTGGTGTCAGGTTAATGTTGGCTTTAAATTTTTTCCTGTAATACTGAATTTTTTGTATAGGAGTAGTCTTGTTTATTTTAAGCTGTTTCAACATTATTTGTTAATTGGAATTCATTAGTGAAACCATTTAGAGTTCAGACAGGAAAACTACAAACTGGTTTCAGAACAATATTTTGTTCCAGAAAACAAAGAATTGTTCAGGGACTAATGAAAGCGTGTTAGAAAGACACTAGAGCTGGTTTTAAGGGGTTCTCATCGGGCAAATTTGGGATATTTTGAACATTAAAAAACCGTACTAGTAATAATTATTATATTGGGAGAAGAATCAGTGAGTCTATAGTGATATGCAAACATAAAAGGGGTAGGAGGAAATAAAAATGGCAATTCCGAGGAATGCCAGCTAATATATGTACTAAACCGAATTGGAAAATCACAGCTTTCCAACAACCATTGTAATCATTGATTCAGGCAGCAGTCGACTATGGATGCTAAAATTATTGGTGAAAGACTGATCTCAAAAGTTCTCTTTATGGATTATTTATTACTTACAGAGAGGAAAAGATATCTTTATGGTGGAAATATCTAGCGGTTACTATATTAACCAGGTGATCCAATTTACCATCATCAGTAATGTTAGACAAAGTTGATATCAGCTGCTGGATGGGTATATGTTATTTGACAAAAATGATCAATCTCAGTCTAGTCATGAGCAAACACTATAGCAGATCAAGATTTAGGGATATTCTGTAAAACAGTAGGTCTTGATTCTTCAAACAGTATGTCAAGGAAATGGTTAGGTCAAAAAACAAAGGGGTAAAAATATAGTAATGGGACGTGCTGAAACAAACCTGCCAGTATTATTCTTTACTAGAATTTAATAGAATTGACTGTCAGTTAAAGTTCTCAGTAGAAAAGGTTTGGCAGAAAATGTTTTCCTGTGTGCGATTCAGGGCCACAGTGGCTCTTCAGGCCTGGAGCCTGTGGCTCAGCAGTTAGTTGTGCACAGTGCCTCACCTGACCGGGCCCTGCTTCTCCCACCTCTGCCCGCTGCCCGCATACAGATGAGCCTGTGTCTCAGCTTACTGCACACAGGCCCTCCAGCATCCCCTCCTACTTTACCTCTTCTTCCTCCCCTCAGTGTGTGTCCCCACCCATGGGTTTCTCCAGTCTTCAAGAAAGAGCATTTCTCCTCCTTTCCACGGCTCACCCTTCCCGTTTTCTTGACAGTTTGAGGCTTCTCCCTGCTACTTAGAAACCTAACTAAAGTGGCTTCCATTTGGCCAAGTCTGAGGCTTATTTTAAAGCCCTTCCCTGATTCTCTAGCACAGCTTTGATGCTGTTGAACCCTACTCTTGGCTTCCATCACATGGCTCTTTTCTGTCCCTGCTCACAAACTTCCACTGTCAGTGGCTCCACTGCTGCCTGAGGGATGTCCTTCCCTGTGTTAAGCCGTAAGCTTCAGCTCTCTACCTTTTCTTCCTTGGTGATTTTGGGAAGCTTTGGTTTTTACATCTTTGTTGGTGTCTCCAGCTGTAAACTCTTTCTCTAAATTCAGATGCTGTCTTGGAACTGCACATCAGTATTTTCACTTGCATATTTCATCTCAGATCTGTTTGAGGCTGAGTTAAGCCTTTTCTTTCTTCATTACTCCCCTTCAAATCTGGTCATCCACCTGCCTTCAGTATGACAGGCATTGTTTAGTCACCAGCCTTCAAAGTTTTCGTGTTATCAGTGCAACCTGCAGAGTCCCAGGCTTAGTCCCAGAGCCTGGTTCAGTACATCAGGATGCAAGCCCATGCTCTACATTTTACTGAGAACCCAGGTGATTTGAAGCAGGGCTCCAGACTCCACTTGGATAACTGTTGTTTTAGCTGTTAGTTTCAGAATTAGTTATTTTATTAGTTCACTGGGGGCTTCCTCTACCTTCAGGAAACTGATCTTATTTGGAGACCCGTATACCTGGAAGGTTGTTGAGAGCTAGTGTGAATTTGAACTTTGCAGAGAAGCAAGCCTGAACTCTCCTCTTGATTGCCACCTACCAGCAGTGTGATCTTGAGCAAGTTACTAGAAAGTAGAGAAAATGGCATGTAACGTCTAGGGCTTATCATGGGCTGTGACTTACTTTCTGCTCTCAAGCCTCTTCCCTGATTCCTCTCAATACTCCTTGAATTTCAGACCTATAAAATTTAGGCTTGTAATTGACTCATCCTATAGTGAGGTCATAAAATAACATTGCCCCTCCCTGTCATTTGAGTGACCTGATGCCTTCTGTTTATAGGTAGTGATCAGCACCAAAAATGGTATCCCTCATGCTTTGAAGCAGACTAGAGGTGAAGATCTATCTCTTGTTAGAAGGGAAAGATACAATGATGTTTTTATGTAATCAAAAGTAAAAATGTAACTAAATTCATAGTAATGCTAAACTGTATATTTAAGTAAAATGTTAAGTCCTTGGGCGCAACAGAGTTTTTGGTTTTTGTTGTTTTGGTTTTTTTTTTAACTTGGAACCTACCAAACTTGGCATCTTTTACTTTTTTCTCCCTATAAAAACTCATATTTATTTGAACACCTAATTTCATTTTAGAATTCTGTTGGCTAGTCTTTTAACTTAAAATTTATGTCAGAGATGATAAACAAGCTATTAGAGACTGATAGTAGAAAAATTCTTGGACCATATATTTGCAAAAGTCATATTTAATAGTAAAAAACATCAGTTTAAACTATTTAATGAAGATAGTTATTCTTTACATTTTTTCTTCTAGTTATAAGGCTTTCTCAATTTAATATCAGGCCTACTTGCCAAACCTAAACAAGACCATGTTTTTCTAATCACTTTAGATCATTAATTTCACTTAAAGCCTTTTTTTTTTTTTTTTT